GACTTCTCTAGGTGACCAACTTCTGGCATCTTCGTACCTTTGGGATGTAAGGGTGGAGCTGGTACCTGGAATAAAGAAGGGGAAGAGGACCATTAGGTACTTTCCCGCTTGCAAATGTTAATTGGACAGTCCTAACGGACTTGCCCTCCCGAGGTTTGTAGAGGTATAAACCCTCTACAGCGTGATTGTGGAGCTTAAGATCCTCCAGCATTTCACCCTCGGAGTACTCGGAGGGGACGCCATAAATGACGACCCGTTCCGTCTTGTTGAAGGTGGACATGGCCGAGTCCACCTTCATCCCACACAGTGCGGTTTGGTTGGCAGCATAAACCGCATCTGCCAGGAACTCAAAGTTCAGCCGCACGTTGCCGTTGGCCAGGACTTTGACCTCCGGAAGAGAGCTATACTTCCACTCTTTCCGGATGAAGTCGCCGATGACCTTCGACTTCGTGCTGCCGAAAGTTTTGCCCCCGCTTGGCTTCACTATTACGATGTTGGAGAACTCCGGCCTTGCTACCCTGGGTTGCATGGTAGCAGCTGGCCGACTCGCAATATCGGCATAGCTAACCTGGGTGGATTGTTGGGAGGCCATTTTAGCTGAAATTGAAGGTTTGATTAGTACAAATAAATATAAGATACAATACAATAAGACAGATCAGATAGCTATCAAGAATGCCTTGCAGACTGTGCAAAAATTGATAGTATGAAAATGAAAAGAGAACAACGAAACAAAACGAAACCTAGTGAAAGCTTTGTAGGACAGCTTGAATTTCTTCCACCAAAGAAATTGTCGGCCGCCCAAAGAAAAGATAAAAGAAAAGAATAAAAAGGAACGAACTCACAAATTAGTGGCAGGTGTCAAAAGTTAATTGAGTTATACTTAATTAATACTTGACAGTAATCCGCTAATCCAATTTCACCAATCCAGACTAGAGAGAGAGCTAATTAGTTGTTCACAGTACGAGTGTCGAACTAATTATATGTGAATAGGGATAGATTGACCAGCAACACTTATACAGCAGACTACAGTGACTAATTGACCTCTTTCACCCGAAGTATTTGAACCAATTTGTTTCTTGCCTTTTTCAGCAACAACACTTTTCGGTGACTGCACTGTGGTAAAACCTCTTTCGTCCAGATTGAAGATATCATGGGGGGCAAATTTGAATTTATCCATAACTTTAGCCAAGTTGGAAAAGAATTCATTGACGGTGTGTCGATTGAAAGCTGTAGCACGTCCCAATGAAGTAGCTTCAGGCTTTCTACACGCTATTCTGTGTCGTTGAAGAAAACTCATAAACCATTCTCGACCAGCTGTTTTATTTTCTATCCAAGATGTCGGAATTCGTGTTCCCAGATTGTTTTGTGAAGCAAATTCAAGGGCAAGCTCTTTGACTTTATCGGGAGATAGACCATGAATCGAGCTGCCATATCCTTAATGTCAATCTCCATGTCATCAGTGAAGACTTTCTTTGCTTCGGATAGGTATGAGTATCCACTTTTCATTGGTACAGCATATGGCTGCATATCTTTCTTGGCAATAAATCTTGTAAGAGTCATTCTGTCAATGTCATACTACGTAGCCGAATTTCGAATGGATTTGCCACCGCTCACATCTGCAGCGGCTCTCTCCCAAACATCTATGGGGAAATTGCCCCTTTCTGTTTTCCTCTTATAAAGCCGAGGCATAGCTGAAAGCATATTAGAGCAATGTTTTCCGTGCTTGAGTTGAGATGAGCCAGATGACCTATATAGTCGTTGTGATGTCATAAACAAAATAGGGGAAGCTACAAGCACTCTTGAAATAATGCCTTTCTTAAACAGGGGGTGGCTCATCTTACCTTCCGGCTCAACTTACCTCATCTTCCCCTACTCCGAATTGCGGACATGGATTGTCGACTTAGCATCCCATAACCTAAACTCTTAGCATGAAATTTTTTATATCCATGGCCTATAATAAATATATTCAAGTGAAACTATTGTGGTTAATGCCCCTTTCCTGATATACCAGTGTTTATTTGTTATTGTGCAAAGTATAGGCTACATATAACCACCATCAAGCTCCGTGTCGAGTGCTTTAGGAAAGAATCGACAACAAACATTTTACATCCCTTCTCCCAAAATATACAGAACAACCCTCCATCATACTGGTAGTCCATGTAGGGAGCCAGGTACATTCGTATCCTAAGAGCTAAGATCTTACAAAAATGTACTCCTTAAATGTCCCCTGTCTCGATCATCAGGAATATACAAAGGATTGTTAGAAATTGAACAAATTAATTGAATAACAATTATATTGTTCTTAATTTGAAAAGAAAACACATCTATTTACCTAAAGTATTTAATATTTATATTGATTGTCTCTGACATGATATTCCAAGTAAATTAATGCTATCTTCCTGTCACAAAGTCGTGATAGATTTTTGGTGTAACCTCTCTTTAAGGGAGACTGTATCTTTAAAGTTTGTTTTGTAGTTTATATAGCTTAGATTATCACAATGTATATCTATTGTGATTAATTTAGGTTAATCTAAAATGTATTGACGTGTAAGTTTAATAGTTTCAAAGCGGCTTAGCACGTGAATTGGTAATACAGGGTATATAAGACTTGAAGTATTTAGTTTCGTGACTCATTCTGGCTCAATCAGAGTTTTGTCGTTAGTCTGGTCGTTCAGCGTTTCATCGTAGTCGTAGATGTCTTGATAGAAATCCATTAGTTTCCTCAGCTCTACTTTTTGTAACTTCGACTATAGTCTTGGATGACATAATGAAAATGGTCGATAATTAATTAGAATATGGTAACTTATAAAATGGTACTAATAGTCTGGCTGACAATTATATAAAGTTAGTATTCATCTAATGGTGTTGGAAATGCACAAGGCATTTCTGTGTCTACCTGACATACTAGTAACGAATTATGGAGACACGACCGTAGACTTTTTTTAGGGTGTAATCTGCATACCTGTATGTGTGGTTATTGTGTTATGTGTAGCCTTTAATCTATATTGATAACTGTTACGTTTAATATTGTTTACGGATGTGCCAGTTGATTAACTACCAATTGAGATCGTAATGTAATTATACTTATGGTAGGGGGACAAATCACGAGCGAACTGTTATTAGCGGTGTAGTAATCGCAAGATAGCTGAAGAGGATGATCATGAACTGAAATTAGGGGGTGGTTGTGTATATTCTTATGTTTGTTGTTTGATTTGTATAATATGTATGTGTTGTTGCCGGCTAAGTAAATATTGTTAATAATTCTATATTTCTTATTATTGAGTCTTCTTTGGGGTGATTCTGAAGTGCGAAGCATTCCGTCGGTCCATCCTTGTGAGTTCCCACTGTCGATAAAGTTCTAATTTCTTTTAAATCATAACTTTGTGACAAGAGTCTGTAGTTCTGAAACGATTGGTTGCGCTCGTATACGTGCCGACGGAAAAATAAAAGCACTATAAGTTTTCATCAGCAACGATACTTGATCTTCTCTAATGACTTTTCACTTCATTAATATAATATAGTTCCAGGATTCATTCATTTTTGTGAGAAGTATGTTTCCCATGCTTTTATTTTCCATGGGAAGGCGCGCAAAATCGCAACCGAATGAAAAAAAAGTGGCAGGATCCATATTTCCAATTTTCATTTCTCGAATTCTTGAAACTTTTAATTTAGTTGTAGTGTCTTTATAGCATTAAACAAATGATTACTTTTATACATTATCTTCAATCTGAGATTATTTGTACACACTATATGTATATTTAAGGTGAAGAAAATGTTGCATTGAGAAGAAACACCACCCAGAGTTCTAATTATTCTACTAGTTACTCATCGTTAGCTGTAGATGGTAATACTAACAGTGATTTTAATCAGGGATCTTGTACTCATACTAAAAATGATGTTATTAATTGGTGGTGTGTTGATTTACAGAAAGATGTTAACTTTCAAAACATAAAAATCTACAACAGAAATTCAAGTGAGATCCCTATATTTTGATTAATCATTCTTCCATATGAAGCTGATAAAATGGAAAACAACGATGACATTTTTTTAGCTATGGGTGATAGAGAGACGCCAATTTCTGGGATTTTATTCTCCGTCATAGTATTCTCTTTTTTGTTGCTGCAATTGTTCACAAACATTATAACATTTTGAAAACCTCCATTTCACTGTCACAGTTTTGATTACAATAATGAAGATCAAGACGTTTGTCGTCATTATCCACGTTTTTCAGAAGATTGTGAAAAGGTGAAAAGGGGGGTCAGTCATCGTGCTGATGATTGTGATCATTTTCCAGTATCGACCATACAAGTTTGAATTCGAATTGCGATTCTCTTCCATCAGAGATGTAAAAAGGGTGTTGGTTGGAGTTATCTTTGAACACTGTATCAAATTTCAGATCAATTCAGATTACACGGTTTTGAGCTAAGATTAAGTTCTAATGGTAGATGTAATATAGATGGATATCAACAATCTACAGTTTGTTATAAAGATACTAGTACAACAACACAAAATATCTACAATATAAACAGTTGTAATCAACAACAAAATATACAGTTTAATGGTAGATATGTATATATTAGTGTAGAAAATCCCAACCAAGGAGACAAAACTCTCACACTCTGTGAAGTAGAAATATTTGAAAGTAAGTTATTTTAAGTAGCAGTATCGTTATAATTTTATGTATAACTCATAAGACAGACATAAATAGACAAGGGATAGAAAAGGCAACAAGTACTGGTAGATTTTCTTGTGTTTTCCGAATACTCATCTCTATAACAATATGACTAATCCAGTTTACGTAGCCATGTGTGTGCACATCCGATTTAAAAAAGAAAACAGAATTGGGCCGGTAAGTGGTCATTAGGCTAAAATCAAACTCAAATAAAACTATTATGATACTACCAAAAGTTTCATTTCTAACAGAGAACAGCTACACAATATTATCTTGTTACATAGTATCCGTTAATTAACTTTTGTCTAATTAATCACAACACATTGTTAGGTAATATTGTTCTTTTTACCATACTTTGTTTATTATTGTAT